ATAACTTATCGACTTCGGCCGAATAGACTTCGGCAAATTTTTTTAGGGTGTCCCAGAATTTATGAAAACAGCTGTAAATGAAAATTGTTCCTGGGCCAATTTTACCATAATGCGAGCTTATTTTTTAAGAATTTCTATTTTTGTAATAAAAAAATTAAAAAGTTAATCCCGGCCGGTGGGCCAAAATTTTGAAGATCCTCGGCCGTTAGCCAATCAAAATCGAGGATCTGCCGGTCCAAATTTGTTGCGGTTAATGCACAACTCTCATAGTGTATCTTCATCAAATCAAATAAATTGATCCGAGCGAGAATAATAATTGTTTAATCTAACGCAGATACTACACATGACATGTATTCAATTAATGTTATAAACGTTAGGGAAAAGTCTGTTAGTCGATTTTTGGAAAATCGGCTTAGTGGATTCAACAAAAATAGAACTACGTATTTACGTGACTTCAAATCTAAGATATATATGGATTTTGAATCTTAAACCGACTTAGATGTAAACAGAATTATCATAAATCGTTACTTTTTAATTTCTTCGATCAACTTGATTGGTCAAGCATCATTACTAGGCCGACAGTTTAGGTCTCGACTACTAACACTATATTCAATATATTGCTTAGAAAGGCCTTAGAGCATCAAAGAGATGTAAGCTATGTAAAAAATTTTAATTAATCAGTTATATCAATCAATAATCAATAGTACCAGTTCGAACATTAACCTAACGTATTTGTGAAGAAAATCGGGAACTTGCTCTTCCTTACAAGCTATAATAAATATTGGCAATAAGGAATTTGCAATAAGCCTTACAATTTGTAGGCGTATTAAGAGATTATACTCTTACTGATCTTCTTTTCGATAGTGTCATCCTTTTAACATATTGAGTCAAACATATATTGATTAATGAAAGAACAAAGGTCGCCTTCTTTTTTATTATTAATGTAATCTTAAAGGCTAACAATTAAGGTCTAGCCCACAAAACGCTGTTTTTCTAATGTGTAGTAAATATCATAAATAAACTGACTTTTATGTCGCTAGCAAAAAAATCTCTTGTGTAATTTGCCACACAATTATAACTTTAACTCTAATTTAAAAGAAACTTTTTTTTTTTTTTTTTTGTTACGCTCATACGACCAAGAATTTTATTGGTCGTCACACGCGTGCGGATATCTTATAAATATGGCAAGCCTCTTCACTATCCGCTCAAGCCCCTCAAACCTTACTACTCAGTTATTGCGTTCATACGTTCATTTCTATTACTTCTATGACTACTTCTATGACTACTTGTTTCCTAACAAATTTTGGTCGATAAAAGATTTTCCTGTACATATTAAACGTAATTGAGGTCAAATCTACATCAATATTTCAACATTCTAATGCACGATTAGTATGGTGGCTTATTGACCTTTTTGCAAATCAGATATACACAAATAGTCACAATTGTCAGAATTAAATAAAATGGCGAAACATGAAAATATGGGGGTTGAGTCAATAGAAACCAAGCAAATTTTTTTTAGTAAGTTTTTTTTTAAATTTTAAACAAGAATAACTTAACAAAAACTTGATCAAATTTAATAAAATTTTTTTTAAATTAATTCTACAAGTTTGTAAAAATTATTTAAAAAAATTTTTATTAAATTTGGTTAAGTTTTTGTTAAGTTATTCTTGTTTAAAGTTATAAAAAAATTTTATTATAAAAAATTTGCTTGATTTCTATTGACTCACCCCCATATATTGTATGGGTACGAAAATAAACAGTAGCAGATGTTATTTGTGATTGCATACGCGCGTCTATCCAATACTATACTAACAACAAATTAATCAATATATAGCTAATTCTCGAGTAAATTTAGCTACGTTTGTTTTAATAAAATGTGCTTTTGGTTCGGGACGCTCAACAATATAAAAATATTTCAGAAGAAAAGATAGACACATACCCCTCAAAGCACAGAAACGGACCAATTAAAAAATTGATATCTATGGTGTAGAAAATTCATAAATGTAGTTACTCTAACGTTTTTGATATTTGATGAATTTTTATTCTAAAAGAATTAAATATAATATACTTTATTTTATTTTTAGTCGTCACCTTTAGATGTTATTTTTTAGTCATTGGTTCCTAGCAATTGATAGAAAACAACAATAATTAATCACTTTTGATTACCGCACACATCATCAGTCCGGTCAAAAAAAAAGGAACAATATGACAGAAATAAAACCTACAATGTTGTCTTGTATACACATTTTTTTGTGGGTAAAAATAAAGAAAAAACCATCAAGTAAGATCAACTTTAAATAATAGGGTTTGTGTCTGTTATTTATTTAGTTTTTAACATGCTTTTATGTTTAGACTTCAAAAACAATACAGTAGAAGACCTCCTTCATCCCACTAAATAATTAAAAAAATGTTGAAAAATGAAATTGAGTTCAAATCGGTCTAAAGGGCCATGTATACAACCAACAATTATTAAATATTCAAAGTACTACTTCTAAAACTTTTCTAGTTCATCAACCTATTAAGCAAAATAAAAAAGTTGGTTACATTAGATGAGATATCAATTAATATTCCAGGATATTGTAAAAAGGTTTTAGCATACAAACTTAAAATATTTACTACTACTGGGCAATTATATAAGACTCTATGCAGTAGGTTTGAACAATAAAGAACAGACACTAGAAATATTTGTCTCGGTTGAATTAGTACTGGCGTCACGAATCAGGCCTTGCTTAAATGGAGAGAACGAACAGGTGTACCACTAAGGGTCATGTATTATAATTAAGGGTAAGTACCTCATTATTTTGGTTCGATTTACTATTCATTCAAAGAAAAGCCATAAAGTCCTCATATACGTATTTATACAAGGACCTAAAGTCTTACTTTCAGAATTTCTTTGAAAAACGTCAACGTTGTGCAAGTAAACATTGGAATTAGCGGTGACTGGTGTTATTCAAGTCTTAAGAAATTATTAAAAAACCAGAACAACAAACTTTAAAATGATCAACGCTGATCTTCCCGACTTAAGTCCCTAATATCTATCTCAAGCCAATCTAGTCAAGCTTCGTCCACAAATTTGCCATATGTCAAAATGCAATTATTGATTGTGAATGTGCTTAAATTTATCTTACAGTTACAGGATATTTTTTTATTATTATAGCTTTTAGGATGTTTTTCTTAAAAAATTTTCTTTTATTATAACATTTGATTTTTTCCTAACAAATTAACTTATCAACATAAAAGACCCCATATACAGTACAACCACGAATTATATATAGAAATTATCAAAGCTTCTATAAATTTAATGGAGAGCATAAGTTGCGACTATAATTGAATGACACTAAATGAAGCCCTTAAGGACTATCTTAACGAAAACCTACCCGAGTATATGCAGAACCTCAGTGAAAATGAGTTCACCAACAATTTTCACAATGACTAATTCTATCAGCTTATAAAAGTTCTAAATTTGGATGATTTAATCATAAAAGTAATTGAAATTGAACATTTAACACGGCCGAAATTGATATAATTATCACACTAGTTTGTTTGAGATAAATACAAGTATTCAGAGTGAGGTGGTTAATATATAAATCGCATTTCATGTACAGAAATAGTTTTTAGAATTATAACAAAAATAAAAAAATTTCTTGATTCAAAACAGTTTTGCGATAGTAATCCGTACAGTAAGGCTACGTTTATAATTAATTGTTATGTTCACGCCTAATAATTTTGTGCTAACGCTACGTACATTTTACAAACCCGGCATTATTTAATCTCTTTCAGAATAAATTTACGTATAGAAAATAAATTGCCGAATTTCGTAATTGAATGTTTTTATTTCTCAACTTATAGCTCTTGATATCTGATCCTCTTAGCTGTTAGTGAAAAATGAAATTGAATAATTCAATTCAAATTTTTTTATATTGAAATTTATCTATATATTAAAAATAAAAATTGTCTAAAAAAATTTAATTTTAAAAATTTATTTATAATTTTTAGTTATCAGAAAAAAATCTATTTATTAATGTTTTTTTTTACAAGGATACAAGCGTTAATTATTGTTAAAGTTTATCTTATAATAACTTTTTTTTTTTTTATATATACAGAATTCTAAACTTAAATTAATTTAAATTAAAATATTTATGTATCGTAATTTTCATGAATTTCCTTATTACTTATTATTTTCACCTCCTGCATTGTATCAGGTTCACTTCCTCCAGCTACTACGGTAAGACTTTCATCAGTACTTGACACACTTTTTTCATTATTATTACCAACTTGTTGTTGAATAAACAATTGTTCTAGATCTTCATAACCACCAAATTTATGAATAAGTTTCGCTATACACCAAGTAATAATAAATAAAGCAATTATTATACAACCAATTGTAAAAAAATGATCATTAAGATAAGAAAGAAAATCCCAAAAAGGACCATCAAGGTTTAAATTATCACCTAAAACATTAAGAAATTCTATGACACCTAAAACTAATGCTATAATAACAGAAAGTAAAGTAATTGCAAAATTATAATAAATTTTTTTAACAGGATTTATAAAAGCCCAAGAATAAGTTTCCAATATTAATATACCATCAAGAGTATCAATTAAAGCCATTCCAGAAGTAAAAAGTAAAGGAAAAATCATGGTATACCAAATAGAAAGACCTTGATTAGCACGATAAGCTGCAACAGCTAAAAGAGCAACTTCAGTAGAAGTATCAAAAGCGAAACCGAAAAGAAAACCAATAGGAAACATTTTCCAACTTGAATCAACGAATTTAAACATAGGAGAGAAAATTTTTCCCATACATCCAGAAGAATTAAGATTAAAATCCAAATTATTAAGATTAAAAGAACCAGTATTTCTCAAATTTCTTAGAGAACGATAAATTGAAATTAAACCGAAAATATTAATTATTCCAATAATAATTAAAAAAGCAGCAGATACACAATTTCCTATTATTCCACCTATTAATTGAATATCATCAAAATTTTCTTTTATAGCAGTAGCGGTTAAAGCGATGGCGAGAGAAGAAAGTATTACAACAGTAGAGTGACCTAGAGAAAAGAAAAGGCCGACAGATACAGATTTATTACCGCTATATAAAAGTCTACGAGTTACATTATCAATGGCAGCCAAGTGATCAGCATCTACAGCATGTCTAAGTCCTAGAGTATATGCTATAGCAGCGGATCCAAGGAGTGAAGGAAGCCGTATAAATGCAAGTACAGCAATAATCCAAGTAATAATATTTACTAAAACTACAATTAAGATTATAGTAATTGCTTTACGGGTAGCATTATTTTTTTCTGCTAAAAGTGGAGTTTGTTGAGAAACTGGCGATGGTATTATAGAAGACTCTATATCTTGAATTATTTCGTTATTTGACATATTTTTTTTCTAATTTTTTTTTGGTTTAAATTCTTGAAATTATTTTTATAGAAATCCTTTGTGCATAATACATAAGTGCTTGCATACGTACTATATATATATATATGTATATATATATTTATTTAAAAAAATTTTTTTCTTGTACAAAAAGGTTTAAGTTAGAAATGATTTGAAAAAAAATCTTTAAAAGGTTATAGTTACACCATTTTATAAGAAACTACGTAATAAAATGCAAGTTACGAGTTTAAATTCTTGCACTCAATCCTTTAAGGCATATATGCACTTTGTCTTAACCATACCATTTTAGGTAAAAAGGTATGACATAATGGGAAATGGTAACAAGATACATATGATACATATCAGATAGCAGAAATGCTCATATGTATATACGTATGTACGGTACGTGCCGGACGCATGGACTTTACAATAATTTTCTCAACGTAATTTCACATTTAAAACGGTTTCACAACATTTTTGTGACCAAAATTATATCCAAAAAATCATCTCTACGAATAAAGGGTTAGCATTGGTGTCGCACAGAATAGAAGAGACAAACAAAGTCTTCGTTTCGGGATCTAGATTGCATTTATGTATCTCATTGAATTTATTGTTTGTTAAATTATATCAAATATTAATATATACAGATATAGAATAACCTTTAAATATGCTAGCACATGATAATTAACCAGTTAAATATGCATATCCATTATAACGATTTATTGTAATTATAAAATTTAGCGTTCTCTGCCTGAAACTTCTCGTACGTACGTACGTATGTACATAACGAAACTTTTTATCTCTATTTTTAAAGAATTGACACAATAACCAGTTTTTCAGAATAATATTCATGTACGTATATATTACCATATTCCTATAATGTAATTTATGATTAGTTTTGAGGTCCTCCGCATTTATTCGTGATTGTTGTATTTTCAAAGTACTCTAAACTGTATAAATAAATGATTAGCTAATAATACATGAGTAAACTTTAGTGCAAGAGATGAACTTACGCTACAAACATAATTATAAGGAAAATGAATTATATATACTGCGGTATCTATTATATCTAGGTATAAATGATAACATACTTTATTGTTCACTGAAAAAGTCAATGCTTATTTAACGTGAATATGCTATAGCATTGAACTTTTTTGTATTTTACTTGATCATTTGAGGCAAAAAATTAATTCCTTCACATACATATATGGTCTTTTATATGCAAAGAGTGAGGTCACTTGATTTTTTATCATAGTAGTCAATGAAAATATCTCACGGAGTGAACATATATATTCTTTTTCTATTTGATCTAAAACTTTTCTTAATAATAATAATAATATTTTTTGATATATATATATATATATATATATATATATATATATATGATATATACTGTATATAATTAGATATTTGATCTAGAATACGATTTCAATAATATGTCTGGTACTATTCAGAAGCTAATGAATTAATTAAGCTTATAGGATAAAGATCTATGATTATCAATTAGGGATACTTTTTTCAGTTTCAGATTAGTCTTAAAACTAAATATGGTCCATTAGTCTAAGACCAGACCACAAAATATTTCTATTATCAATACAGCTACATGACTCATTATCTTCTATAGATATACTCAATCATTAATTCTCTTATTTCAATTGAATGATGTAATTACAACATTAGGGGGTTTCAAAGTTAACAAATAAGTGACGCATTTCGAAAATAAATAGGATTTTTTCAATAGGATTTTTACTATGTTGAATTATAAATCGGAAAAATAAAATGAGATTCTCTATTGGTGAAGGTAAATCGTACGTACGTACGTAGTAAAAAAAATTTCAATAATTTCTAGATTTTGTGCCAGCTAATCATCATACACTTGTCACAAGTTAAACCTCTCAGTTTTTTAAAATTTTATTGGCTAAAAAAATAAAATTTAAATTTTGAATATTTGACCGTAAGTATTTGCTATCTTGAGCTAGGGTTAAGATCATGGGTAACTATAATGCAGAATTTTAATCCGAGCTAATGTATGTGCCAGTATGGATGTTAAACCGTCTAACCATATTTGAAAATAAATTATAAATTAATTATATTAAACTACCAGAACTAGCTTATTTTGTATAATAAAATTGAACCGATTTAATATCCCTAAGTACAATACCCATATATGTAAACCATTACAACAATAACCAACTAGTAACATGCGAATTCAAATTGCCAATAATTCAGTATCTCACATTCGGGATAATATAAGTAATCTTCAAGAGACAGTGTCTAATGCTTCATGATATTGCTGTAAATGCATAGGTGAACATGCGATAAATGATATGCCGATCGAAAAAAAGCAAAGCGAATGTAGAAATTCCAAATTTAGGGAAAATGTAATAGGTAATTCGTAAGCTACCAAACAAGTAATAAATTAGCGATATCTTTTTATTCTGTACATTCTGTAATACAATTTGAACCTCTAATATAATTAAAAAGTCAAAACTAGAATCAATACATTGCATTTTCGAATTTCTGTAACTTCGAATATTTCCCTCTTAATAAAAATGCTCCAGTTAAACATTTTTCTAAACAGAATTTCTTGCATCAATAAATATTTGTCATTGCACATTATAGTGCATGACAAATATAAATTTTGTACCATATAATAAGAAAAATATAATACGTATCAAAAAAAAAAACAAAAAAAAAACTAATAATATCTGATACGTAGCATTAGTATCAATGATACGTAAAGAAAATTAAAATTGATCAAGTGCTGGCACCAACAGTTCCATCTGCATTCATGGAATAAATTATTGACATTGGTCACAGGGTTGTGTTACGAAAGTTCCAATCTTATTATACAATGCATGCAATTTTACGTGTACCGTAAACTGTCGTATACAAGACATTCACTTTACCAATTCAAAACCAATAATTAGACCTGTGGGTCGGATAATTGGGGTTATTATATTTTATTAATTTTTTCCTGTATACCCTGAGTCTCTTACAGTACATTTTACACAAAGCTTTATCACATGTTGTAGATCCGCATAGCAGGCAGTTTACGGTACGACGTACATACGTACGTACGACGCAGTCAGATTTCGTCACGTTATACATAAAGTACAGTACTTACCAACTTTACAAATGTTCGGCAAGAAAATTTACTTAAATATATTATCCGCCTTACTTCAGCTCTAAAACGTTACCTTTGTTGTCAGCTAAGTGAACTTTCGGTGAAGTGAACAGTAACTCTTTAATCACTAAAATTTTGTTCTCAAAATTAAATATCATGTACAGTATTCAAAGTTACTAATTACATGAAAGCTAATTTACCGAAACCTACCGCAAAGTTACAAAAATTACAGTAATTTAACAACCTTAGATGTAGTGTTCCGCAAAATGGATCCGAAGATCCGATCCGTCATATATAAAAGCGTCAGATTCCGAGGATTCGTCTATTTAAACACGAATCCGGATCCATACTTGGGCCCGATCCAAATTTAGGATCGAACCCGGATCCTTGAAAATAGAATAGGCTCCTGCTTTCAAAATTCTACATTGTTGTAGACTGTTTTCTTGCCGTTCAACAACCCTTTATAGCATTTTTTTGTTTTAGCAATTCTACAACAATCATTACATGATCTTTTCGGCCAAAAAAGAAATCAAATTTAAAAAAATATGGTAAATGAACACAAGATGTAACAAAATAAGTTGTATAAATGATGCAAATCACTTCACATCACTATTTAGATCAATAAGGCGCTTCATTATCATGTCTAAAATCAATTACCAGATATTAGTGTTTGAACGAAACTGACCTGAAATACACTTTTCCTCCAGAGTGAAAAAAGTTTGCCCGGTTTACAACCATGTGACTTATTGAAATGTAATAGACATTCTGATTGGCTTGTTTAATTTTAGAGAGAGTTCTTAAGATAATACTGTAATTTTTTTTAGTGAAAAATTACTATATTGATATTTAATAAACTATATACATAAAATGATAAAGTTATTTAATTCACAATTCATATAAGAAGGATAGGATTTTATAAATTACAAAAGTATAATTTACTATGTTTTTTATATAAGAATGATTAGCATAATAAAAAAAAATAAGTTTTTTTTTTTTTTTTTTTAATAATTCAGCAGTCATGCCTTAACTTTATTAGGCTTTGTACAACTTATCTAGAATATGTAAAATTTTACAATCGGGCATTTCAGAAGGTAAGTGATAAACTCTTAACTTGTTAGCAAATAGTGTATGAGAACTATCTCTAAACAACAAGCGCTGTAGCCCAAATTGTTACCTAAATTACAAGTTACGACTAACTCAGTTATCAACTTGGTACCTATATTCGACCTGCTATAATAGAATTCTCCTCCTTCTGGACCTCTCCTGCAATTGGATATGACCCAGATCTCAATAGATAGTATCTACCACCTATCATGACTACTTCTTCCTTCTTTCAGACTTCTTCTATCTAAGTCTAACAACATAATTAAACTCTTATTCATATATAAAAGTGAAAAAAATAAAGCCATGTTTATGAAAAACATAAACATTTTAGAAAAAAACACCTCATGGTGAGAAAAAAAACCAATTCTAAAATAGTTTAACATAAATAAACAAAGATGAAAAAAGTAAAAAAAGAAAGGTAGCTATGATGCACTATTATAGCCCATGCTAGGCATAAGAGTAAAAATTATATAATAATTGCAATTAATTACTATATCTCAATTGTAAAAACTTCATTTTAGTCTTGGGACTCATTCTGGGCATCAACTCAACTCGGGTATCTTCTAAACAGAGGTGACGATCCCTTTTTCATACCATAGCAACATATTTACAAAACAACAAAACACATAGTTGCTTTTTATTAAGTTTATCCTGATTTGGTAGATGTAAACAATGCTGATCTTTTGGAGAGGGTAAGCCAAAAAGCCCACTTTTTGTTAAAAATTTTGGTGAGAATGGCAAAAAACAAAAAAGAGAAAGAGACCTCTTAGTGCTATTTAAAAGAAAGTAAGTTACTAAAAACAAAAACAACCTTCCATCCAGGTAGTGCACTACTCGAATTTTGTTGGTAAGTAATAAACTCTGAACTTGTTGGCAGGTAGTGTATGAGAACTACTTCTAAACGACAAGCACCAGGTTTGCAGTGAGTAATAAACTCTAAAACTGTTGGTAGGTAGCATATGAGAACTATCTCTAAACAACAAGTGCTATCTTATAATCTCTTCTTTCTTTGACTTATAGTCTGAGAGGTTAGTTTTTACTGTTTTTGTTGGAATTTTTTTTTGGAAAAATTTGAACTGAAAAAAAATTATTTTTATAGAGAAAAAAAAGATTTTATAATTATAATAAATTTAATAGTAATTTGCATCTATAAAATATTGTTCTTCTTATATGAATCAGCAATTAAATATTAATTAAGATATATACATATAGTAGTTATTAAAAAATTTTGAAATTTATATTAACAAAAAATATAAATTTTTTAAAAAATAAAAAAAGTTTTTTTAACAATTTATAACATAGTATAAAAAAATAGAACCTAGACATCTCTAATACAGTATATATCATTTTTTTTTTTTTTAGCAAATTAATTTAAATTTGGCCTGAGATTCTAATTTGAATTTTTTTTTAGTTCTTTGACATTTTTGTCAGAGCTCAAATACAAATTTTATTTATTTAATTAATAATGAAAAATTTACCAAAACTAACTAAAAGTAATTTTGAAATTGAATATCTCCTAGCTATGATTTATATACCTGTTGCACCATCTTCAAAAAGTTCAAGAACTTTGAGTTAAAGAACCTTGTCAGCCTATCTAAAGCTAATTCTTTCAATTTTTTTTCTTTACCAAAAGCAAAAGAAAGTAATATTTCTATATCGAAATACAAAAATATAAGGGGTATTATACAAAGGGAGTATTATAATAAATTGAATTATCTCAGAATTCAATAATCAGAATTGGATAAAATTTACACTATTCAATTCTTCTCATCAAGAGTCTAATTCTGATTACAGAATCATAGAATAATTCTAATTTATTATAATACTCCTTTTATTATAATATATAGAATACAATAGCTAAAAATATTATAACAAATTAGGGTATCTCATAATCTAGTAATCAGAATCAGACAAAATTTATACTATTTAATTTCTTTTACAAAAAAGAATTGAATAGTATATATTTCATCTAATTAAGATTATAGAATCTTGAAATAATCTTAATTCATAATAATTAGAGAGAAATTCAACTCATCATAAATTTCATTTTTGGGTTACCCGCCCATATACCGGGTTGGTGAAAAGTCCCTAAACAGGACTTTTTTTTTGCTATTTCCGCTAATATTAAGTTTCTTACATCTATATTGTATTTGCAATATGTCATTTAGTAATTAATAAAAAGACCCTACCTGAGGACTTTTCACTCACTGAGGTATATAAATTTATAAACAACTTTTAGAGGTAGCAAAAAAAGGTCCTGTTTAGGGACTTTTCACCAACCCGGTATAGTAAAATAAGCAAAAAGAGTTCATTTGATAATTAAGTACCCTTAGCCATATATCTACGAAAATGGATATTGAATCTATATAACTTAAAAAAATTTTTATTAAATAAAAACGAAGAGTCAGGAAAAACAAAATACGATAATATTATCATTTATCTAAAAAATAAAAATACATAATGTAAAATTAAAGAACGAATAAAACATTATATTATAATTTATCGTTATGATAAATTATCAATTTTTATTTTTAATGTGCGATTTTTTTAGTTGATCAACGTCTATAATTACAAGAACCGTGCATACCAAAAAAAAATAAAGTTATCTAAAATAATGGCTTCAAAAGGTATTACCCAAACTACGCGACCTTTATTTTCCAAAATTTTTACTTAATGAATACTGTCTTCTAATTGAGGATTATCATCACCATAAAATGTGAATAATTCCACAGAATATTCCGGTAAGTCAGCATCCTTCATATATGATTGCGGTTTTCCACGTCTTATGTTCTCTATTTTTTTAAGCTTATTTTGCTTCAAATATTTGTTATGATATGATTCAAGATAACCACGCATTGACTCTAATGTTTCATATAATGATACATCACATGCAATACGACTGGCTAATTGAGATAATAATGGATGTATGTTTGAATTCATAATTAGAGTCGTAAAATGTACATCTAATAATAGAGTCAAAAATTCTAAAAGCTTTTATATAGACAATCAAAATATTAGTTATCGGGTTAACATTAAAATGAAATTCATTCTATTCTATTTATTATATCAAATTACTTACTTTATCAAATTCAGGTAATTTATTTGTATCTTTACGAAATTCATTCATTTGTAGTCGAGATTCTTGTTTTGTTGACAAAACTTCTCTTACAAATTCTGTTTGATCATATTTTTCAATCCAACCATTTAATATTTTCATCACAATCATTACCTCATCTTCTGTTAATTGGCGTAAACTCCATACCATCATATTATCATTTTTTGGAGTTTTAATAAGATATCTAAGTATACTTCCGATTGAAAATGGTTTAGTTTGACTCGAAATTACATGTTTAAGTAAATATACAAGATCATCTTCAGGAATATCTTTCATAAAATAAAGAGCCAATTTGATTAAATCCTGTAATATGAATTTATAAAGAAATTAATATTAAAAAATGAAATAAAAATGATTTATCCAAATAATGATAGTAAAAAAATTATAAAATTTGAAATTACCCATGCCTCCCTTTCTATTAAAGCTTTAATAATTCCACCCTTCACAACTTTGTTTGATATCAATTTTGATTTAATAAAATATCGAATTATCTCTGGTACCCAACAATTTAAATTTGGAGTACCATCCGAATTTTTAGATAAACAATATTCAATAACTGTTTGAATAAAATAATAAGACAATTCTGGCCTTTGTATTTCTCCAGACTAAAACAAAATTTCATGAACAAATCAATATAAATAAATATCATCAAATAAATATCAAATAAAAATATTTAAAGAAATGAAATATTTTTTAATTATAATTTTAATTATAAGGTTATTTACCTCAAGATATTCGTATACTTTTTCTTTATTAAGAATGTTTTTTCTTGATTCATCTGTTTTTACTTCCCATTCTTTCCACACATCTAACCATTTTTGATAATTATTATAATCATCAATATAAACATTATAATCGACTTCCTTTTCTTCATAAATATTTGCAGATTCTGATCCTTTATGATTTTTAGAAGATTTCTTGTTCCGCTTCCAATATTCTGCATATTTCGAATATTGTTCTTTATTTATATCATGAGTTTTCAAAAAAGATTCAAATGCTTTTCCACCTTTCATTTTCACAAAATTTTCAAACTGTTTTTTAATATTTTCAGTTGTATGAGATTTGGAAAAAAGGAACTTTAAAAATTTGTATTCATTCTTTTGTAATTTTTTAATATTATTTTTAATATTATTTAAAAATTCATTAGAAGAATTTTTAGATGATTCCTATAGTTATTAAAAAGTATTAAAATGTAATTATTAGAATCAAATTTAAAAAATTAGACAATAAAGAAAATTATACCAACAGGTTTTATATCAGAAGTAATACCAAATCTGGTAATTCCAAAACCTCGAGAAAATCCATCACCCAATTGTAGATAAGCAGATGAATCTTTCATGCGATTTAATGCGTGTAGCAATGTCATCGGTTCATGATAATAACGACAGAGATATGTTGATAATTTAAAAGTATTAGAGTTATTTGATAAAGATTCAGATAGTGTAGATACTATCAAATTGCTACCAGGTACAACGATAAGCTGATATTAAAATTTAAAATAGATGCATTAAACTTATTATGATAAATTGGAATGAACTTTGACGAACTCTATACCTGAAATTTGAAAAGAGAAGGGGGTGATATAATATCGGTAGGGTTTTCTTGCTTAAATGTGCCAAGCACGCGTTCAGCTTGTAAAGTTCCATATCGTAAATCCCATATGGTCAAGACCTTGTTGACTTTTAAAAATAATAAAATTTAATTTTAG